ATTCAGATTGCTTGATCATTTCTCCAGTACTTATTTTTATAGTTTCAAAAAAGAGCAGACGAGGGTGACCATCAGCGTTTTAGCTTGAGTGGCAAGGTGAGCATGGCTGTCACCTGAGGCTGGGAAGACAGGAAAGGTACCTGTGGAGGGGAGTAGGGCCCATGCCTGAAAATGGGAAGAACCCCAGGATGTTTCTTCTTTAAACACGTTTGCTGCTGATTCGTGGAATGTGACCTTCATTAGCTTTCAGAAGTCACACTCATTTTCCTTTTTCTGAGAGATATTTCAAAAATCAAGAACAGGCCCTAAAGTTTATAGAAGGCTTCTTATGAACTTCCCAAACAATTAATTTATTTTATTTCTTTACTTTAGTTCAGGAAAATTTGGTAATATCTTGCCCTGTTCCCTAGTGCTGAACCAAAATGATGTCTCATGATCAGCTGTACTGGTCATGATATATAAAAGCTGTGCACATAATTGCAGAGAATACATGTGTGTAAACATATGCATAACTCACTTAGGAAAACTGACCTTGCTTAGGAGAGCATTTTAAAGAATTATTGCTGTCATTTTATGTTGACAGTGCAATTAAATTTGAAATAAACAGCAAGTAATAAAAAACTATGAAAAATTAAAAAACTACAAATAATTTAAATAGCAAGTAGAAACTTCTTAGAGCATGGCAGAAATGGAAGTGGTACATTTCAGCATTTGTATGAGGTGGCTAAGTGGACAATTTGAGGAGGATTTATAGCCTTGAGTGCTTTTATTACATTTATTAGCATATGTATTTTGGACTAAGATTGAGGTTTAAAACTCAGGGAGTGTCTATCCATGGCTTATAAGGGAAGCCCTTATTTGTTGTTTATTTAACACTCCCTGGTGAGTTCTAACTGCATCTTGACTTGCATTTTCATTTTATTCTTTCCTCTGTCTCATGTTTTCTCTCTGGGAGTTGTCTGCCCACACCCCAACTTTCTCTGGTGTCACTGTTAGCCAGGCTTTGGACTTGCTAGAGAAAGGAGTCTGTTAGCACAGCAGGGACCGCTGGCTCAGACAGATGGCTCACTTTGCACACCAAACTCTAGTTTCTATATTCCTGAGGTAGCTGGTAGTTTCAGTGTTTATTTATTTCCCTGGACTGATATTCTGGCTTTATGGCTTAATTCCTATTCTTTCCTTTCCTTTCTTGCAAGCATATCCACTTATTTTACAAGCTAATTTTATTTCAAGTGCCTCTTTCCAGACATTTAAAGTGATCACAGCACTATGTTCCAATATTTCTCATCTTCTCTGTTACTAGAGACGTCAGTCTGTCCCACTGTTTTTCACTGACACGGTCTTTCCTTATACATACTTTATTGTTTCCAGTGTGATTCCTTGGTATTTCAGTGTGTGGCTACATTTTCAGCACGCAGATATTTCTTTCTTCTGCTCAGGGCATTCCATTCTTAATGTGTCGTGGCAATGTAATTCCACTGGTATTAAGTAGACTCTTTTGTATTCGTGAAAATATGGTTTAAGGCAAGTGTGCAAATTATTCCCTTAAAATATGTATTTTCTAAATGTTAGCAGAGTTATATTTGTGTAAACCTTGTTCCTAATTCTCAGATTTTTATACCTGCACTCATTTTCCTGCTGCATAGCAAGGGTTTCAGTCTCTCCTTCCATAGTTTTTGAAATGTCAATTTCTTTTCATTCTTCTGCCATGTTTTCAATTGTATGGTTAATGCTCCCTTCTTCGGTCTTCTGCCAGAGGTGCTTGATAATTTTACCCGAAAGAAGCTGCATTATTGACTCACTTGGTAATATCCAGCCTCCCACTTTATCTCTTCAAAACTCAGTTCAGACATTTAAAAAGATTTGTGCACATTCTGTCCAGTATTTCTAGACGTTTGAAATTTAAGGGTTTTTGAATTCTGTGTTGCCAGCACCTGAGTTTCCACATTTTGTTTAACCCACAGAAATCCGTGATCACTGAGGGGCCAGCCATAAGATGAAGGGTGGCTGTGGTCAGGCCACTGGGAGTTCTGATACTAGTGGATGAATAGAAATGAGATAAACCCGCCTGTGGTCTGTCTCCATCCTATAATCCTGCAGGCCCCATCTCTCTCCCACAGGACTCGTAAATTCTCAGGGATGTCAGAAAACAAATAAAACAGACGTCAGCCTTCCACAAACACTCATTATGTCTTAGCCAGATATCAAATGTGATAATAAGAACATTGGAAAGCATTATGTCTTTGGTATGTGAAGGAAGAATATTGTTTTTTATTGTATATTGAGATATATCAAAATCATTCTTCCTCTTACTGTGTTAAGTACAAAGAAAAGTTCTATTGCTGGCATTTGATAAAAGTAATGTGATGTCTGCTTTTATTTGTTTTATATTGAGCCCTCTGGCAAAAGACAGCCTCATCTTTGTTTCTTGTTGATCTTGAGAGAGGAAGGAAAGGCAGGAGGACTTGGAACTTGTATTATCTAAAAGAAAAAGTAATGAAGAAAGTGGCAAAGATAGATAAAAGACGAGCAGATTTACAACCTCACTGTATCTTTAAGGATGAAAAAAACATAAAAAGGCCCATTGATTAGTGAGATAAGGGCAAATTCAGAAGTTCTATAAGATTTTAGAAATCTACCAAATTTTCTGGGAAAAAAGAAGGAAAAAATGAAAATAAAAAATCCTCCAGAAATGTTTTCTCTCATAACTTCTGAATATTTGTTTTTAATTCTCAAGATTCATAATCACATTGTAACAGGGACAAAGTTAAAAAGAAAAAAATTACTTAAGAACTTAGAATCAATGAACCATTAAAAAGTGCGTGAACTTTAGGGAGGGGTAAGGATGTTAATAATGTGATTGATGAGAAACTATGTTTAAGCTGATTCAACAAATGAAGAGAATTTCTTTGCAATGGCTGAGTTTTTACATGGATAGATCAGTTCTCCAGTGTTCTTGAATATAAGAAATGCAATTTGTACATGGTTGCTTTCAGTCAAGTTACCTAATAATATCTAAAATATTTAATTTGGAATGTATGGAAACCAGTAATCAAGGCTATAAATCCAATAAAACATGTATAATTCTACTAGATTATTCTAATAGATTATTGACAGTCTGTGCAAGAAAAGTAGCTTTTGAGCTTTAATTTTTCTTGGCTCAACATCCGAGCTGATAGTATGTGGCTGTCAGAAATTTAGCAGAAAATGTGTAGGGTTCTTCATTTGAAACTGTCACCCGGTAAGGGTGGTGATGATTTTCCTGATCCATAACTCTTCAGTGGCTTAGCAGACTTCAGTGAGATGATTCCGCCGTCAGCGATGGAGGCAGAATTGACAATAAGAGGTGGCTTCCAATAAAGGCAGGTTGGATATAAAGGTGGCATATTTACAGTCATGCAGTATTATTTCATGTCTGACTTTTGCATTATTTTTGTGGCTGCTTGTCTAAGGATGTGCACTTTCTCTGGGTAGTTTAATCCATTCCTATGTCTTCAGTTTTCAGCTATATGTTAGTTAAGCTACAGCTCTACTCCAGACCTAATTAGTTCCCTAGCTACATATCATTCTACTTTCCAATATACTTTTCCCTTTTCCTACTTTGTCTAAGCCTGAACATATGTGTCTTTCCCAAATCATTCTGTATCCTGTATTCTCTCAATAAATTTTGACTTTTTTTGGCTAAATAGAAAAAAAAATGAGTGTCTTTTTCATCTTGCCCTTTCTGCTCAATAATGGCTAAGTACAAATGCATCCAATTGTTGTTAGCTCTACGGTGGATTTCTTTCCATCTGCACCATCCTGGTGGAGCAGGCGCCAGCACATTCCGTGTCTGTGTCTCCTCCACCTTCTGCATTAATCTCTCTTGACTCTACCCTGCCTCTCTGTAGTCTTCTCTGTGCAGTGAAGCTCTGCTCTGCATTTTTGACCATGTCCCTTCCCCAGCTCAAACTCCACACACTGTTCAAGATCCTAATGTAAATAAGGAAGCTATTAAAGTATTGCTGTACCATTAAGGTATTTTTAAAAAGTATTTAAAGCATCTTACATTGGCAGAGGCTGTTGGAGGAGCTTGGATGCTCAGAAGCCATAGGGAAAAGTGGGTCCTGTCCCTGGGGAAGAGCAGAATGGGCCCACGGATTCCTAGCCTTCGCTGGGTATGAAGCTGTCACTTGACAGTCAAGGTGATGGACTAGGAAGACTGCCTGCTGACACTGGCCTGGGACATCTAACCCTTGGAACTGACGAGCTAGTTTCTGTTGACACAGTCTCCGGCCTGTGGCATTTTTTGTGAGGACCCTAGAAAATTATTACCCTGTGAGGGTCTGACATTGATTCTAAGGCCGGAGTCATCACACTTCCTTTCCCAAGGAGGACGCAACATCGTCATCTGAACGCTCCTGCTCTGAGGATGCTCCTTCCTGCTGTGCCCTTTCCATGCCTGTCCTCCCAGCATTCTTTCCGTCTCTGGGCTTAATCTGACCTTGGGAGGACTGAAGCATACACAGATTCACAGGGGAGTCAGCTCCAGGTCCTTCTTGCAGTCTGGAAGTGATGCTTTGTGAACAACTGATGTTTTCCTCCATGAGACTCCTAACGCACTTCCTTTTCATTTTGGGGAATGGGTCTTTTCCTGCTCATTGCCGGACATCTCCCTGGGTCCCCTCCTGCACTACAACCTGGCCTGATGAAGCATTTCAAACATCCACATTCAAAAGATGGCCTGTAATTTCCCCCTGCAATCATCTGGTTAGGTATTCACCTGCTCTCTTCAGATCCTGGAGAACTTTTTCCCTGTAGAGAGGATTCATGAGAAAATTTTATTAGATTTGATTTTATGAGGGAAAACAGTTCTGTTTGGTTTGCAAGGAAGCCAGCAGACTCAGGCTGATTAAAAACTTTTTTTTTTTTTTATAAAATGCAGTCACAAGACAAGACAATGTAATAATGCTGAAATAACTTTCCCTTTACTTTTTTGTATTTCTCTAATTCCCCCTTAGAGGCTGATTCACTGAAGTACAGTTTAATCTGCTTTGTAGAAGTGATGGATTCAGACCAAGATGGCTGACACAGTATCACAATGACTTAACCAACCAGAAACAAATCACTGCTGGAAGTGACACCATCCTCCTTGGCAGGCATGGTCACCAACTGGGCTGTGTGCCATATGGACACCGAGGGCTGGGGCACTGCTGAAGCATTAGCTTCTTGGCTGAACCTAAGCCTTCAATAAAGCTTTGCTTCCCGCACCCCCATCTGTATGTAAGCATCCTGGAGGCGCTGGAGAGAAAGCCCACAGTAGCACACTAACAGGCCCTTGAGGATGCCTGCCTGTAGGCTGAATGTGCAACCTGCTCGCTGCCTTCCATGGCAAGGGTTTGTACAGGGATGTTCAAGTTAAGGCTCTTGCAATGGGGAGATTATCCAGGATTATCAAAGTGAGCTTGATGTGATGACAAAGATCCTCAAACATGGAACAGGGAGAGCAGGGAGGCAGAAAGATCAGTGTTATCATGCAGCAGTCGAGATAGACTGGCTTTGGAGAAGGCGGAAGAAAGCAGGGGCCAAGAGGTTCTAGCAGCCTCTAGAAGCTGGGAAGGGCAAGAGAATGCATTTTAAAATTTTAATTGTATTTATTTATTTATTTTAAAGAGAACAAAACAAATCAAAACAGAACAATGCAAGCAATGCAAGACTTCAAGAAAAGACCACAGGAAATCAACGATGGCTATCATAATGTCCCTTTTTTTCTTCGAAATAGCTGTCTATACCTTCACACACAATAAATTTTTAAAAACACCAAAATGGAATAAAACCAATCAAAAGAATAAAAGCATTATGAGATTTCAAAACAAGGTAGTGGGAAATGAACAATGGCTACTATAACATCTCAAAATAGCTGCCCATGCCACCACCCATAATAAAATCAAAACGAAACAAAATAAAAACAATCAAAACAAAAGAATAAAAAAATTAGAGCACTTCAAAACTAGATGACAGGAAATAACAATGGCTGCCATAATGTCTTGTTTTCTTTAAAATAGCTGTCCATGCCATCACCCATAATAAGATCAAACAATAAAGAGAACAAATTTTAATGGAGGGCTTCAGAAAGGACCACAGTCCTGCCAGCGCCTTGATTTCAGCAGCATGAGACCCATTTGGACTCACTTTTAAACTGTAGCACGTTGTATCTGTGTGGTGTGAAGTCTGGAGCAGCAGCAAGGAGAAACCAACAGAGTACCACCTCTCCTGGGTACAGGCAGTTTCCCACGAGGTCTTTCTGATTATCAAAGAAAGGCTGCCTGGCCCAGGCCCTGCATCTCCACAAAGCCTTGAGATTTCCATGCAGGACGCCCTGCTAACTCCACGTGGCTCGAATCTGCAGCCGTAAACACACAACTCGACATACTGAAGAGCGAGGTAGCTAAAATCCTTTGAGCTCTTTAAGGTCCTGTCTTCTGTGGCTTATTGTGGTAGCCAGGGTTACTGAGGATGGTTTGTTTGAACTGCTGTGAGTCAGTCTAGAGCTCTGACAACATTAGATTATGTTGAGGTTGAAATAAATGTTTATAGTTCTTCCATCACTGGTTTGTCTCACTTGGGTGAAACTCACTGTTACAACACATTTTACATTTATTTTTTATCGTCTCTTTTACTAAGGTACATTCACGACTTCACAGAAAATGTGACTCTATAAAATACTTTAAAGCAAAGTATTCATGTGCCTTTCTGCTTTACAGGAAGAGAAAAAGGTAAAATTTCTAAACTCACACCCAAGACATATATGTACTGGCAACTTGGAAATAGTATCCTGGTGGTCCAAAGCATGATATCATTGTTCAAAGAATAGTGACTTATTAAATGATAACACTGAGTAAGCGGTAATAGCCTGAGAACATTAATACACATTCATGTATGCTTTTGTACATAAGATAGTGTAGTCTGCCTAAAGGAAAAGAAGTGGAAGAGTACCCTTCTATCTAGAGCTTACCTGAAGCGTGTATGTGATGGCTGGAGCTCCACCCTCCATTTTGGCCATTAAGGCAAAGGCCACATTTGGCAAGTGGCATGGGGATGTAGATGACGTGTGGCTATCTGACTGACTGTGAGCTCCTACTGCAAATCAGGGTCACTTGTTCCCTTTTAATAAAGTGAGCATCTGGATTCTATAAACCACTATTACTTTTGATTTTTTTCTTTGAGGAGATCAGTTGAGTCCCAGAACATTTTTTATATTTAAAGAGAAAAAATAAAGCAAAACAGAAAAAAGGGTAGAAGTAATACAGAATTTCAAAGAAATTAACGCCAAGAAATCACTAGTTGATAAATTACATACTGTCATCTCAGAAATAGTTGTTCAAGCCACGCAAAGCATAGAAAGTGGACAATCAAAGAGTGAGAGTTCAAACCCTTCTGTTCAGTGATCCAATAAAAACTTAGTACTGTGGTCATCTATCTTACACAGTTAAACATACATGCAGTTATATTCTTTGGAGCACTTCTCTTTTCCTTCTACAATAGCTATTACTCATTTTGGATCTTAATACTCCTACAGTTTTTATTAGTTTTTACACCAGAGAGATGGTATGATATTTATAATTATGATTCTTATTTATTTCACTTGTGAGGATAGTCCCCAGCTGCCTCCATTACCTACAAAGGCCTCACTGTCATCCTTCCTTATAGCTGAGCAATGTTCCATTGTATAAAAATACCACATTTTTTCATCCGCTCTGTGGTTGATGGGCATTTTGGTTGTTTCCAAGATGTAGCTATCACAAATCGTGCTGCTATGAACATAAGTGCACATATATCACTGAGACATGACCTTTTCAGTTTTTCTGGGAAAATACCCAGGAGGGGAATAGTTGGATTGAATGGAACTTCCAATCCTAGTCTTCTGAGGAATCTCCATACTGATTTCCATAGTGGCTGCACAGTCTGCACTCCCACCAGCAGTGGAGCACTGTTCCTTTTTCCCCACAGCCTAGCCAACATTTGTTACCAGTTGATTTCTTGATGGCAGCTATTTTTTCCAGAGTGAGATGAAATCTCAATGCAGTTTTTAATTTGTATTTCTCAAATGATCAGTGATGGTGAACATTTCTTCATGCAGAACATTTTTACTCCTTAAATGAAACAGCAGATTTTGTTTCTCCCGTATTTTTATCAAAGCTCCAGAAACACCTTTATTTTAGAGACAAAAGTCAACTCTAGGGGAAAGGCAGCAATCAGGTTGTGGGTGATACTGAACCGGTTGAAACAGTGAGTTTTCCAGGAAGGCTTAGCCTCAATTTTAAGTGTCTGTTGGTGGGGTTCCTCTGTAAGTAATGCTGAGCAGGATGAGAAAAGGGGCCACAGGAAGCTGGGGGAACGGGGCCACCATTGATCTGATCAGAGGAGTTTTGGTGGAACACCGTAGGAGGCAGGGCTAGTTACGGGCGTTAAGTGGACAGCACACCCTGCTCTCTTTCTACCAGCGTTTGCCTGTATTTCTCGGGCTAAAGAAAAGGCCTGGCTTGTATTATTAGGCTCCCATAAAACGGAATGGCTCCCATTTTTCCTGCTCCTTACAGCTGTGTAGCAGAGGCAGTTTCTGTCGCTGACCTAGAGCGTTTCGTGTTTTTCCACGTGTCTGAAAGAACCAGGGTGGGGGAGCTTCGGCAACACGAAGCAGGCGGCACAGTGAAGCTGAAGTAACCCCCAGCTGCCGTCTGGTTCTCATGGAAATCAGCTCCACTGAAAGATCAGAGAAGCTTTCAAACAAGAGACAACCCGAGGATTAGTGCTGTAAAATGCCGGGTTTTACTTGGTTAGAAACAGGGTACAAGTTTTGAATGAGGCAAAAAGTAGACCAGCTTTCTTGATTGTATTCTGCTTTTGCTATTTTTCTTTTTTTCTGAAAAATAGTCCCAGAATTTAAACTAACCAAGAGGGAGAATAGCTGGAACACTGGGGTTCTCTGTCTTTTGTTCACAGTGGGCAGTTGGTGAACCGCAGGTCAGGGTTGAGTCATGGTCTGGTTTCCTCGGTAGCCTCCTTGGAGATGAGTCACCAGTAATTCCAGCTTCCAGGAATCAGTGTAGGCAGGCAGGCAGGCCAGTGGGCTTTTCTTCCGCAGTAACTTCCCTGCCTCTGCCCCACGCACTTCCGCTTCCCCTGCCCTCCAAGAATCCTGCACCTCCTACTGTGATGAGCAGCATAAACTGTAGGTCACTCAATCTACTCACAGATGTGTGTCGATTTGCAACTTGATAAACCTATCATAAGTTGAACATGTGAGGTAGAAAGTGCACTGACCTCACCCAGCTCTGCTGACATCCTAGCCAGCCACAGTGCAGAGTGGCAGTGGCCTCCTCTTGGGATCCTGTAGCTGACTTGACTCAGTGGCTCTCCCTGGATGGTGGCATTAGAGACATCAGACTGTCTATCGCTGGGCTGGGAAAAGAGCAAAAGTCAAAATCCAAGATATGGTTTCTACCATATTCACATTGCTTTCACACCAGAGTCAAGTGGAAAAAGAATGAGGCGAATCGTCCTAAATCGAGGGCCACCTGCATTTGCATACACACCTGAGTAGCAGGGTTGGAGAAGGGTAAGGGGGGATACAAGTCTGTGTGATTTTACAAGTTAGCAGTGACTATCTGTCACATTCAATTTTTTTGAAACCAAAACCTTTTTCTTTCAAATGTCCATATGGTTCAAATTTCCCCAAGATCATACTTTTCTTGTTCCAAGTTTCTCATTTTCCATAAGTTTTCTTTATGGAGACTCCAATTTCAGGATGAACACATGTTAAAAGCTCAGATTCCCGCTACCTTCTTGGGGCAGGAGGTTCATTTAGGGATTTTGATTTCTGTTTTCATATAGACATTGCACATCGGTTCTCTGGTGTGGCGAAGAGCCGGTCCTCAGGAACTAGACTTGCCGTGTGTCTTTCTTTTGAGGTGTTCCATTTTGAACCAAGGGGTAGCCAAGAAGACCAAGAAGCTCTGAGGGAAGGTGCTCCTGTTGTTATTTTGTGTGAATATTGTTACATTGCTTTTAACATCTCTGTCTTTTAAGGTTTAGGATAATCAATACTATAAAGCAGCTTAATAGAAGAAAATGAAACCATCAAACTCATACTGCTTCTGAGAACTAAAATGGCATTTTATAAATAGGTGTATAAAATCTAAATCACTTGTAATATCAGCCAACAGCATCCTCAGCTTTCCTGACAGGTGTGTTATGAGCCAGAGTCATAATTAAGAATACTGCTTAAGGTTCTGCTGTCCTCTGTGATTCCCTACTTTTTAATCTGGGAGGAGCTTCCACTCTGGTGTCTCAGGTTTGAGATACAGAGTTCCTTTTCAGAGAAGCTAGTCCAGAATTCTGTGAGGTCTCCGGAAATCATCATAGAAAACAGAACCCGTCCTCCCTGTGTTTATAGAGATACAATCTCAGAACTTTCTCCAAGGGTTGGCTCATCAAGTACAATTTAACACACGTTATGATCTGGATTTCCTGGTTTAGAAAAAATAGACCTGTTAAACCACAGATCCTTGTATCATTGATACATTTGCATGAAGAAAAAGTATTTTACTCTCATGTGGAAGTGAACACTATCAAATACTCATGAACGTAAGGTAAAGCACTCAGAAGGTTTGGGGAACTGTATGTGTCACCCAGACATGAAGTGTGTAACCATGGTTATAGCCTCCTTGCCCCACAAGCTGTGTCTCAATCTCAGGTTCAAGGCAAAGCTGATTTTCCGAAGACCATGTTAGAAGAGTCTGGCTTTGGAAACACAGGGCTGGGGCAGGTGAGCAATGCTGGGTGGGAAGGGCAGTGGCATGGTGCCTTCCGTTCCTTCACTGGGGCTGAACTGTTTCAGGAATCTGGCCTGAGGATGGTCCGTATGCAGAAGTGGTAGCGCTGTCATCAATGCTGAAGAAACACTGGGCAAAACAAAACAAGACAAACAAAACACAGCTTGGTGATAATACTTATTGAGATTTTGAACTATGGTTGTGATAAATCAATGCTTTTCCTCATATCCCAGGCTCAAGTTTGGATTAGCTGGGTGATAGACATGAAAATCACAGAAAGATAGATTAATATATCAGCTTTATTAAAAAAACTGGGTTGGAGAAAGTGCTTATATTTGTAGACAACTGAAATCCTTAATGTTTCTCTGCACAGACCTGAGATGACTGTATCTAGAGAGGTAAAGCAATCGAGGAAGCAAACAGAATTCCTGAGTCTTTAAGTTTTAATTCGGAGTGCTGCTAGGGCTTGTGTGTGGGAAGGGGAAGCACAAAGTCAGGCTTATCTGGCTAGCTGTGCTAATTCCTTATGACTCGGGGACCTCACAGGATTTTACTACTTGAAAAACTATTTAGAAAGCACAGAGTTCATATTATCAGATTCAGATGGGTGCACGCCTCACCAAACAGGACCCGTACCGTTACAACTAAAGGCTGGGTTTTCTGACATCGAGCTCTTGTTCTGTGACTTGATATTATTGATGTTATTTCTCATTATAAATTTTTAACAGACAGTTTTCCTCATCTGTCACATTATCTCGTAATAATCTATTCCA